AAATGAAATATACTGTTTGAGTACTCGTTATAGCATTAAATCTCAATGTACTGTAACTTAATTTTAAGATATGTTATCTCAAAAAATTTTTAAAAAAGGAGAAGGAAAGAGGGTGGGAAGGAAGGGAGGAAGGGAATATCATCATGTTCTTAAAAAGTTTATCTACATTCAATGGGGCCATCAAAGAAGGAGGTACCTTTCTCTGAAGGGAGGAGAGAACTTCCACTTTGACTATGACCCTGTCGGAATAAGATTGAAGTCGGCGAACTCAAAAGGCTTCCATAGCCTTGGCAACTCATGACTAGAGCCTAGGGAGATTACTGACGCCATAAACAAGAGTGTCAATTTGTTAAGCCAACAACAGGAGTCACTGTGTACTTATTTCTCATGTGGGATCTGTCCTTAATGTGTTGTCCAATGTGAAGTAATGCTATAACTAGTACTGAAACAGTATTTTACACTTTGTGTTTCTGTGTGGGTGCAAACTGATGAAATCTTTACTTAATATATACTGAATCGATCTTCTGTATATAAAGAGAATTGAAAATGAACCTTGATGTGAATGGAATGGGAGAGGGAGCAGGAGATAGGAGGGGTGTGAGTGGGAGGGAAGTTATGGCGAGGGGGGGAGCCATTGTAATCCATAAACTGTACTTTGGAAATTTATATTTACTAAATAAAAAAATAAATTAAAAAAAAGACTAAAAAAAAAGTTTATCTACATTCAAATATTACGAGTAAACCAGGAAAAACACAAGTGCAAATCAGTATTACATAAAATTTCTTAACACAAAAGCGAAAAGGATATAAACTTCAAAATACATTGAGAATAAAGACAAAGAATATTCAACATATGAATAATAGTCCTTGTAGAAGAAAATTAAAAGGGAAATGTATAAGTATTAAACACTATACTTAAAAAAAGTATTCTTGAAAGAAAAATTGATGTCAGTGTCCAAAGAGCACAACTGAGAATATTTACTCCAAAATCCCAATGCTGAAAAAAATTTTAATAAAATTATTTAACCCTAAATGAAAAAGCAGAAGGCTTTATTCATCCAGACAAAAATCAAAAACAAACCCATGACTTTAAAAGCAAAAGAAAATCATAACACTTGTTTGTAACAGCATTGCCTTCTGCTGCAAGAAAGCATTGTAGCATATTTAAGATAATAAAGGAAAAAAAGTGAGCAAAAGATTTTACATCTAGCAAAATTTACAGTTCAATATAAGGCAAGAACTATTACTGAATGTAAAAAATGAAGAACTTGGCCAGCGCCACGGCTCAATAGGCTAATCCTCCGCCTTCAGCGCCGGCACCCCGGGTTCTAGTCCCAGTTGGGGCACCAGATTCTGTCCTGGTTGCTCCTCTTCCAGTCCAGCTCTCTGCTGTGGCCCAGGAAGGCAGTGGAGGATGGCCCAAGTGCTTGGGCCCTGCACCCGCATGGGAGACCAGGAGGAAGCAACTGCCTCCTGGCTTCGGATCAGCGTGGTGTGCCGGCCCCAGCAGCCATTGGAGGGTGAACCAACGGAAAAGGAAGACCTTTCTCTCTGTCTCTCTCACTGTCCACTCTGCCTGTCAAAAAAAAAAAAAAAAGAAGAAGAAGAACTGTTGTTTTCAAAAGCCTTTCTAAGGACTCTTCAAAACAACAAACTTTAGAAAACCAGGAAGACTAGACAGATAAATGGATTGGTGGTGACCATCAAAACTAAGGCTGAGGGTTAAAAAAAAAAAAAAAAGAGTACAGATATGATGCAACCATCAAAAATGGGAAGAGAATGGTGAATACACAGGCGAAAGTTTTTAAACTATTTTAGTAGCATTGGCAAAGTTTGTATTAGTTTTGTTATTCTCAAGATGTGGAATAAATGTAGAATTAAAAAATAAATGTCATCTGGTTTCCAGCAAGAAAAAAATAAATAAAAGTGTATCTACAGGGACTGGCACCATGGTGCAGTAGGTTAATCCTCTGCCTGTGGCACCGGTATCCCATATGGGCACTGGTTCTAGTCCCGGCTGCCCCTCTTCCAGTCCAGCTCTGTGCCGTGGCCTGGGAATGCAGTAGAGGATGGCCCAAGTGCTTGGGCCCCTGCACCCATGTGGGAGACCTGGAAGAGGCTTCTGGCTCCAGACTCCGGATCGGCGCAGCTCTGGCCAATGCAGCCATTTGGGGAGTGAGCCACAAGAAGGAAGACCTTTCTGTTTCTCCCTCTCATTGTATGTAACTCTCTCTCTCAAATAAATAAATAAAATCATTTTTTTTAAAAGTGTATCTAAATGGGAAGTAGGATACACAGCAGACTCATAGAATGGCAGATGTCCTAAATAGCACTCTGGCCTCAGAATCAGCCCTTAAGGCATTCGGATCTGGCTGAAGAGCCCTTGAGAGTATTTTAGGCATGGAAAGCCAAGACACTCTGGAAAAAAAAAAAAAAGAAGACCTAAATGAAAGATCTCCGCGAGTGAGATCCCAGTGGAAAGAACGGGGCCATCAAAGGAGGAGGTACCTTTCTCTGAAGGGAGGAGAGAACTTCCACTTTGACTATGACCCTGTCGGAATAAGATTGAAGTCGGCGAACTCAAAAGGCTTCCATAGCCTTGGCAACTCATGACTAGAGCCTAGGGAGATTACTGATGC